GCCGTGGTACGTTGGTTGACGCAGTCAGTGATTATTGCGTATTATGTTCGTAATGATGCGTTCGACGATGATCGTAATGATGAGTAATAATGGCTAGTAATGACGTTAGTGATGACGTAAGTGTTTTTGCTGTTAGACCAGAGCGAACGGTCTGGATTGTGCGATCACTACGAGCAGACGATTCTTATGCCTGACGGTACATCGTCGCCATAGTCGTCTGCGGACTTCACGTACACTGGTAAAACGAACACCGACGACAGAATTATCGCACGCGGAGGCTATCATCAGGGCTTGAGCAAATTCTATATTTGGGGAAAGGGGGGGCAAAATTTTCACTGATCAACTGGGTTAATGAATGAGCGACGGTTCCGCAAGCTCTTGATCGACCGTTCATAGTGTGGTAGCGGGTTGGGTCTGGGGACATGGCTTTCGATGGAATAATTGCACCAACAAATCTTTAAAAAATAAAGGTCCTTTTTATGCTGTGTTAATAATTTTGCTCTCCAAAATCTAGTCGGGGGCAGCTGTCGCCCTTGCCCCACAGGCTACCGCCCTGTAATCATTACCCTTCTCTACTCAATCACATTAACTAGGACGCCGAATTTCAATATGGTACAAGCCGCTCGTTTCATCCTTAAGGTACTAGTACACTGCTGGGTTTATCCTTTTACTTATGCTCCTACTTCTACTCTTCGCTCATTTCGTTATACATGTTCTAACGATGAGCCTTTCTTTGTTCGCCCTTATCTGACATGGTTCCTTTGGGAATATTCTTCCAAAGTTCAGTCAAATAGGTTCATGTCAAGCGATATAACATACTTTGCTTTTAAAGGGCAGGGTGCCGTCAAATATCTGTTTCTACCAGATATGTAATTGGTGTGTCACTTTAACATACGCCGTAACGCAATGTTTTATTGACAAAAAACTGATATGATTGTAATTATCTAAATATGTAGACTTGATAGATAGCTTGACACAATTACGGGCCAGTATCGGATTAGTGCACGAAGTGAAACCTCCCATACACTTGTTCACGGTGTGTCGATGGCGTAATTATTGATGGCTCTTGTTTTTAATATTTCGCACGATGAGGGCCTAGCTCCACAGATGAGGCGCTGCATGCGATACGTGCTTCGATCTTGGAACGCCTCATAATCAGATGTGTCGCCGTACTTGGAGGGTATTTCTGGCCATCGAATTTATCCATTGTGATGAAAAAATGGGTGGGTCGGCACTTCGAAACCCCGCTGCTAGAAAATTTATATCCTTTTAACTATCATTACATGCGTCACGGCAACACTACACGATCGACAACGCTGCACACATCCTATCACACCACATTACATCAAAACACACACACACTTCACACACACACACCACTCACATAACAGCACACAAACACAACAAACAATACACACTACACAGCACACACACACGACATACATTACAATCAAACAACCACACACACACACACACTACACACACACATAACAAACAACACACACCAACACACACACAAACACAAACACACACACACACACACACACACACACACCACACACACATCAACACACAACACACACACGTCTTTCCTTGGTATTTTATAATATGCCATGCAGCTAATGCAATTTCAATTATCTTTGATAATTCGTTTACACGAGCTTTAAAATCTTGTATGACAAAGCATAAAGCCATTTACACCTGAGGACTAGTTGACCCATTGCTAATAAACACTCTCCATGGTCGATGAAAATCAAGTCAGCTTATCAATCACCGCACACTAGCGCTCCCTTTGCTCCCTCGTAGATTTCATAGGTATTACCGGCATTTTCCGAGTTATAACGCGATTGGGAGAACTACTGGATTGTTAATCTAACAACCGAGCAGATCAGAGGATGATCTATAATTCCGAAAGACCCGCGATTGCTGGCTTCGCGGGTTCATAAGTTCCAGCCTCTACACGATTGGCGACACGAGAGTAACGGTGGCACTCAGGTAACCGCCATCTTGTTTTAATATGCCATCTTGTATTTAACTCGCCATTTGTATCCGTAACCCACTATCATGGTATTTAACCCCCTACCTCTTGTATTAAACCCATTTAATCTTGTATTAACCCAGTTATCTTGTATTAACCCACATCTTGTATATAACCACCATCTTGTATTTAACCCCACCTCTATGTATTACACGCCATTTGTAACTTAACCCACCATTCTTGTATTAACCCACCATCTTTGTATTAACCCACCTCATTGTATTAACCCGCAATTTGTTATTAACCCGCATTATGTATTAACCCACCATCTTGTATTAACCGCGCCATCTTGTATTTAACACCTTATTCTTGTTTAACCCGCCATCTTTGTTAATTAAACCACTATGCTCTGTATTAAACCCACCCTTTTTATTACCCCGCCATCTTGTATTAAACCACATTCTTGTATTAACCATGCCAATCTTGTATAAACCGCCATCTTGTATTAAACTTCCATCTTGTATAACCCACCTCTTGTATTTAACACACTCATACTTGTATTATACCACCATCTATGTATCCAAAGATAATTATACATAAGATGGACAGCCGCTAATGCTTGCACAATACAGTTTCGATGTCCCGCGCGACAACCAAGCGTCGACCAACGGCGAGTTTAGGGTCCGCAGCTTAACCACGCTGACTGCCTAACACACCAGTAAGCATATTATAGCAGACGCACCTCGAAATGGTCGCCTTCGAAGTAAAAAACAACATGATTTTATTTTAATAAATCGATTGTTTCAATATACATTTTATATTCTCATAAGACTCATTGGCATCCTT